CCGGACCCGACTTAGGGCCGGAGGGACACACCAGGGCCTAAAGGCCCGACCTTTGGGGTTTACAGGCCCTAAAGGCCTGATTTTGGACTATCACCCATCGAGTAGGCCCAAACGACACTTCGTTTGGGCCTGGCGGCGCTCTTGAAGCTGCCGCCCGCCGATTGAGGCTGAACCGTCCATCTGGACGGTTCAGGGTCTGGCCTGGCCTTGCAGCATTGAGGCCAGACCATTGCCCACTGGTATAAGTACCGGTATCCGCCTCAGTAGTGGGATCGGCCTACCGGAACTCTACCGGCACGGCATGGTCAGTGCTAGTGCACTGTTTGATGCGCTAAACTTAGCGCAGGGGCTGAAGCAGGAGCGCATCATAGCGCAGCATAGCGCAGCAGCGAGCGGAGCAGCAGCGGGCGACTGAGCTTGCACGGCGGTTATTACCGCCTGAGGTATCGGGAGCTTGGAGGGTCTCTCCTCCTCTCCCTCGCCAGTCCCCTCTCTCTCTCTCTCCTCTTCCTCCTTCTTCTTCTTCTTCTTCTTCTTCTTCTTCTTCTTCTTCTTCTTCTTCTTCAGATTGGAAGTTGGACAGAGATCAGAGTTGGATTTCGGTGATACGAGACTGTGGTACTTACCTGATTGGAGACTTGGAGATTGTTGAGGTTGATACTCGGCTGCATCACAGTTGGACACCGGTTACATCTGGACTCTGTTATCTCCGACATTGGTGACCBTTGGTCCTCGACATTTTGATCTTGTTATATGACATTCTGGACTACCATTTCGGAGACCTATCAGACTCTATCTTTGTGACCTATTGGTGTGATCTATCTCCTACCTCCTTCGTCTCTCCTCCCACCTTTCATCTGTGTATGTGTGTACGGGATCTGGGTATCGTCTATGAATGACCCAGACCCCACCATCTCATGATTGTATGTGTGTGGAGTGATGCTATGTGAGTCAGTCTATGTGAGTCAGTTCGTTTATCAGACTTCCGCTGCATACATGCTCATCCTATATTGGTTGATCTTTGGTTCTGCCCATACTCATCGAAGTATGCAACAATGTACCTCATGCCACTCTTGCTGGTGACTAGCGTATCCATGAAGTCCATGGACAGGCTTTCACCAGGCCTTTCCGGAATGGGAAGGGGCTTGAGAAACCCAAGAGGAGCTTGTGTTCGGGGCCCAGGGCCTGTGGTGGTTTCCTGTCCCCAACTGCTCACAGCCTGTGTTCGGCCCATCTTGCGTATCTGGCCCAGGGCCTGCCTCAGTTACGTACGAAAAGGCAGCCTGGGCCTGGGCGCTCTCAACCAACTGGCGCTGCGCAACTGCCTGAATTTCCCCAGTTGCGTGGTGACCCCAAAAATGGGCCTGTAGGCCTTGGTGGAGCCTGCCTTCACTTAGGGCGGCCGACTGTACTGAAAATAGGGCCCAGTAGGGCGTATCGAGGCCTTGAGCCTCGCACATCACATAGCACATAGCCATGACATAACCTTCACATGGCCATCAAATAGCCATCACATCGCCATCACATCGCCATCACATCGCCATCACACAGCGCTATCATATGATCATCGCATAGCCATCACATAGCATCACATAGGCATGAACAGAGGGCATACTTTCTCCGCATTTGTTTTTTTTTGTGTGTGAAAAGGGATGGAAAATGATGCTTTTTGAAATTACAGCTCGATGCATGTTCTTTTGTGGTTGCTACATAAAAATTGGTGGCTGATGGCGTATTCACACAAGGACTTCCTGGAGCGAATCCATCAACGCTGGTGGGCAGGCACCTCCTGGGCAGACCGTCTTGTCAGCAAGGCTCTAACTCCAACCAAGCAAGCGCACTAAGGGATTGAATACCTCAGTCCTGGGTTCCTTTTCATTTGTTGTTGCCTAATATTTCACTGAGAATGAATGTTGGCGTTGTTGGTGTCTTCTTCTTTTATATGCAGACACACGAAGGATAGCATGAGAAGGAGGCAAATTTGCAACAAAAAAAAAAATAGGGAGCAAAAGTAGCTCTTGATCGCCTCAACTTAAAAAAAAAAAAATGGCTTCGTCATTATCGTCAAAGAAGGGCTCAACTAAGCTAGGTACTGTTCTTTTGCCATGAATCCCTTCATTGGTTTTGGCATATTCACCCCCCCCCT